CCCTTCAATTCTATAGCACATCTTCAGGTCACTTCTGTGCTGCATTTCCCTATTTCTGACGATGGCAGTCCTAGACTTTGAGGCCCTATGCACACATAAGCGGATGGTGATGGTGCCATCCCAAACAGACACCCTGGTGCTCTGATAGGGTTAACAGGTGGCTGAAAGACGGGAGACGGGGGGCACACAGACGGACGAGCTGAGATGAAGGTATCAGAGTGCAAACAAGGGCAGGGTGCGTGATAATGCAAAGAGATGATCCAGGCAGGAAGAACAGCTTGGAGTTTGGCACATGCTGCACTATTTTTATTGAAAGTTTAAATTGTCACCATTTGGGAAAACAATGAAACCAAACAGTGAGTCAGTGCCTGGGAACATAACACATCCCAGCAATAAGGGGACTGGAATGGAGAAAGCACAAATGTGAGTACTAACCTCTTATCACTTCGCAGAACAGATAGTATTCAGGCTTCTGTATCTCTGCTGCTCGCAATATTTACTTTCTAGTCATTTCACACAAGTCCGTTAGAGCCCTGATGATTGCTGTAAAATATTAGATGTTTGAGCTTTTTGATGTGGATGACAGATGAGGTCATGGCATAGTTCCACTGAACTATGGAAATAATAAGAGGCCATGTGCGTGTAATTGACATATTTTAGGAGGGTATGGGCAGGAGATGGCTCTGGCCAATGGAGCGCCCTGAACAGGGAGGACCAGCAGTAATACACAGCAAGTGAAAACTAAGGCCGTGCAGCGTGATACGACAAGATCCATTATGAGTTGGTACTTTTCATTCTTAATTGCATAGATTTCAAGCTTTTATTTCCTTGTTGTGTTAGGGTTGGCTATGGGTTTGTCTATTTTATTTAATCTTTCAAAAACCCCACTTGATTCATTGATTCTTTGGATTGTATTTTAGTCTCAATTGCATTAATTTCTGCTCTGATCTTTATAATTTTCTTCCTCACATAAGTTTGGGTCTTTTCTTCTTTTGAGACTCGGTCTTGTTATGTAGTCCAGACTAGCCTTGAACTCATTATGTAGCCTAGGTTGGCCTCAAGCTTGCAGTGATCCTCCTGCCTCAGCATCCCAAGTGCTGGGACTACAAGAATGTGCCACCACACATGGTGACTCTGGGTTTAAATCGCTCTTCTTCTAGAGCCTTAAGAGTTAATATTGGGTTATTTATTGGTGCTCATGCTGTTTTTCTGATGTAGGAATTCACTGCTATAAATTTCCCTCATAGGACTGTTTTCATTGCATCCCATAAATTCTGGTATGCAGCACTGACATTATCGTTCAATTGCTGAAACTAATTTCTTCTTTAATTTCATCTGGTACCCATTAGTTATTCAAGAGTATATTATTTAATTTCCATGTGTTTATGTAGTTTTTGTGCTTTCTTTTGCCATTTATTTTCAACTTCACTGCATTATAAGCTGATGGTATGCACAGGATAATCTCCATTTCTGCATTTACTTGTCCTATGAACTAGCATGGGTTCTGTTATGGAGACAGTCTCATGAGCTGCTGAGGAGAATAGGCATTATGCTGTTTGGTGGGACACTAGACTTCTACCAAACCCATTCATTCAAATCCATCAGTTCAGCTTGATACGTCTTTGTTGACTGTTTTGTCTAGTTCATCCATCTGTTTCTGACAGTGGACTGCTGAGGTCCCCATTACAGTTGTGTTAGTGTTTATCTGATTTTTATATCTACTAGTAATTGTTTTATGTAGTTGCATGTACTGGTATTTGGTGCAGATATATTTATGGCTGTTATCTCTTCCTCTTGGCTTATTCCTTGTACACGTATTTCCTGACTTTTTTTTTTTTTTTTTTACATGAAAATATTCTGCATTAATTACACATTAATTACACAAATCACTTAAATGTCTTTTTTTTTTTTTTTTTTTTTTTTTGTACCGGGAGCTGAACTCAGGGCCTTGCGCTTTCCAGGCAGGCGCTGTGCTGCTGAGCTACATCAACGGCCTGTACTGACCTTCTTTGTCTCTTCCAATCAGTCTTGGCTTGACATCCACTGGGTTGGTTCTTGTTTGTTGATCCACTCTGCCAATCTGTTTCCTTTGATTGGTGAATTGAGACCATCCTCAATGATGGTTACAACTGATAGGTACTGACTTATCCTTGTCATTATATTATTTTCCTATTGTTGGTTCCCTTTTCCTTCCTATTTAATTGCTTGCCTTGCTGGTTGATTCATTCTATTGAGATTCCTGGATTTTTTGTCTCTGTTGTCTTTTTCTAAAACATCCTTCAGAACTTTTTGGAGTACTGGTTTGGTGGTCATGAATTTCTTCAGGTGCTTTACTGTGGAAGTAGCTTATTTCTCCATCAGTTTTGAAAGATAATTTTCCAGGGTACCTCAATCTGGGTTGGAAGCTGTTTTCTTTTAGAGTTTGAAATATTTCACTCTAAGCTCTCCTTGACTTTAGGGTTTGTGTTGAGAAGTATGCTGTGATTCTGGTGTGTTTTCCTTTATAGATGATTTGCTTCTATTTTCTAACAGCTTTATAGATTCAGTTCTCGTGTTGAATTTCTGAAATCTTGACTATTAATGCATTGGGTGCTGTGGTATAGGGTTTTTTTTTTCCTGATCTTGGCTATTCTGAGTTCTATATGCAATATATAATACACATACATATATCTATATTATATATACTTAATTATATGTATATGTAATTAATGTGAGAACTTTCTTAATGTCTACCTTTAAATTTGAACCCTCTAAGTAGTAGGCACTTTTGTCTTTATGGGCTATGTAAGTGGTCGGTCACATAATTCTTTTTCTGTTTATGGTCCTTGTTTTCTTTAACCAGGACCTCAGATACGCTAGGCAAGCATCTGTCACTAAGCAATAGCCCCAACTCCTTTCGAAACCCTTTAAAATCGCCAAAGCCATTCTTAGACTTAAGAATGGTTTGCTGTTTAACAAAAAGAAAACTGTTTTTAAAAACTCTCTGAGTTAGAAAAAAATACAATGAAACTCAACAATCAGTTGCTGATTTAAGGCATTCTACCTGCTGATGAAAAGAGAGACGGAAGTACCATGGTGAGAATACTTTTATCACTTCCCTAGAAATCCGAGGAGCCGTGGTAAGTTGGGTTTGATCATTCATGAATAAATCAGGAAAGTTCTTATCCATGGGTTCATATTTCTTGTTCTATGAACCTGGCACTTCCTGAGAAGGGTTCTTTCCCTTGCCCTGAGGCAGTGTTCTCGCGTTCACCTTAGATTTTAGCATCTGACAAAGCATTAGCTGTACTCAGTGCCTCCTGACGTACTGCTTTCTCGCATACAGCACGAAGACTACTGTGAAATCATTTCTTTTACCCATCTGGTTCAGGATTTCATTAACCTCTTCCTCCATGCTCTCTGGGCTACATTTAATTTGCTTAATTTACAAATCATTGATTTCCAAGACCACCAATACCCAGTGATGCCTTTGATTATTCATTCATTTCTCTGCACTTGTTTAATCTGTCTTTTTTGCTTCAGATTACTTACATTCAAATGTTCTCTTGTAATAGCACGCATAACACACTCACACACGTGGGAGAGGCAGATGAACACAGTTCTGCCGAGGCACCCACTTCCATTCACAATGCCCATTCGTAGCTGCACGTAAGATACCTCTGCTGAGATGGTTTATTCTCACTGCAGCACATCCAAGACTAAGCCGCGCAAGCTACTGTAACGTCTCCGAATTCCACCTGATGCCTGATGAGATAAAGCCCAAGAGCAAAGTTTTCAAAAAGAGCTGGATCTTGATCTGCTATCACATATGCCAAAGATACCTGACAGTTTCATTACTGTGGGCTGTTCAGTACAGCAGTGAAAGCACCGTTACTACCCCTGGATGAGCTTCAATCCTTCTTCTTCCTTAGATGAGATTTGTTCTGGTAAACCCTAAACTTTGACTTGGTTGATCTTTAAGCTGGTTATTTTCATAAGTGACCATGCTCTTGACTTTAGAAGTTCAAAGCAATGAAGAATAGCTTATCATGAGAGAAGAATATAACGTGAATTGTGGTCCATTTATTCAACCTTTACTATTTCTCACGGGTCAGGCATTCATGCATGGTGCATCTGATGCCAAGAATAGTGAGTGAGCCGTCCCTGCCTTCAAATGGTCAAGAGTGAAGTTGGGGAATGGAATAAAGAATGGGTCAGGTAGCACCCTAGGGCCCTGGGTGGGCGGCAGGTGGGGGGGAACACAGAGAAAGAACAGGTCTGTTCTGAAATTCTGACGGGCAGCATGGCACCTGATTCATATTTTGAAGAAACACAGAATGAAATACAACCACAGAAATGAGTCTTCCTAGGCAGAGGCTCTCACATGATTTAAAGCAAAAAGGCAAAAAAGAGAAATAGCGATTTGAAAGAACTGTCAATAAAGAAGTATAAGACCCATGTTACACCAGTAGCACCAAAACTTGCACTATCTAATCTAGTATGGTCATCACCTTTCCTTCTTTTATTCTAGAAACACTTACTAAGGAGCTTCTATGGGTCAGTGATTTTTGAAGGCAGGCTCTTGCAGGGTAAAATAATGAGAAACGAAGACTCTGCCGTCATAGGATTTAAATTCTACTTTCAGAAGAGATGAAAATATATTACTTTTTAGGCAGGATCAAATAAATGGAGAAAAATATACCAGGGATGGTGCAGGGTGTGTGTGTGTGTGTGTGTGCGCGTGCGCGCGTGCGCGCGCGCAAGAAAAAAGTGTTCAGGTACATGTGCACATACAAAGTTATTTTTTACAAGATGATTAAGTCTTCCCTGTTAAGGGACATTTGACCAGTCTTGAGGTCAGTTTTACCCTATTTTTATAATTTGTTTTATTATGACTTGCTGTTTATTTGCGTGCACATGAATTGCTTTCGAGAACATTCCCAGAGCATGAAGCTGTAAGCACATGGTTCTGACATCGGAGACTCCTCTGCATGTGTTGAAAGAATGGCCAGAGGCTGGAGCTTCGGCTGCGGCGACAGTGAGACGAGGGGTGCACAGAATCAAAGCTGAGGTCGTGGAGGGGTACAGGATACAGAGTGCTCTAGACGACTTGTTTTAGAGAGTTCCTTCCCTGTGGCTCTCCCTTACAGAGCCCAGGAAATGTCTAGCCTCCAGCAGTAGGGAACAGGTATTTGGTAACCTGAGCCAAAGAGTTAAGTTTCAAAATCTAAAATCCTCATGGAAAGGGATTTTGTAGCTTGTTTTTCCCTCCACACTGGAGTAATAGATGGATAAACCCCACGAGGGTATGTTAGAGAGTAAATTCAAACAGCTTTTCATATTGGGTATTAACTGTGGGTAATTTACAAAGTGTCTCGAGCAACCGCAAATTGAAACGGGCAGTGAATTTAAGGTCTCTTTAGCAAAAATCAATCTCACATCATGGCAGTTCTCCTACACTCTGGTCTCTCATTTGACAGATCACTTCCTCATGAGGATGAGTAATAACAACCAGCACAACGCCCTTTACACTGAAGGAGCACTTTCTGTCCCCTGGTGTTAAAGTGCTTGAGCAGCAGTCAACACGCACCCCACTACTTGTTTTCACTCCACGCCAGCAAGCAGCCTGCACCCACCAGCACTGCTGTTTACTCTTGGCTTCTTGGTAGAGACGTGTTGAGAGCCCTGGCTACGTCTGCACAAGGTCAGTGGCTGAAGGAGAAATCGTCGTTCATTTGGCTTCCCACAGGGCAGGACTTGGCAAATTACTGGCTGTCTCCTACCGTTACACCTCGAGGGTGGGTAACGACGCACATCAAGGACAATCCCAAAGAATACGTTTATGCTTTCTGTGACTGAATGATTTTTGAAAAATGATCAGTCCCAATCTGCACGCGTCGATGCCGCCTAACTCCTTGTTATTTCTGGCTGTGCAGGATTTATACTCCTTGAAGAGTGAGAAGCGAAAGCTCACTACCGTGGGGCCCTCTGCAGGACAGGTCTGCATCTTACTCATGTGTGGCTCCCGACTTACCTGCACTGTGTCAGGAGGACATACGTGAAAGGTAACTAATGCACGCTTCATGAACGAGTCAAGGTCCTTTTAAGGTAGAGAGCAGTCCGCCAGAGAGCAGCAGGACTAGTGGGGGCTTAAAAACTGTGAAATTCCCAAAGTCTACTGCTAGACTGACTGCTGCTAACACAGCCACGTCCTCTGACCCTGCAGAACACGTGATAGTAACATCTACCAACCACGGAAAAGAGAGCTTCAGGAATAGAATTCGGGTATGTTTTCGCGCTGCAGTGTAAAAGTAAGAACTGAAAACTAGACTCTGCCCTCACAGGATTTGCCTGCAGAAGAGACAGAAAACAAAATAAATTGGAAAGACATTATTTTTCAGGTGGGGACAAATGTATGGAGAAGAATGCATCAGGTCGGGACAGAGGACGTGTGTGTTTGCAAGGACGAACGTGTCCACCTGCATGTGCAGGTACAAAATTATTTTTTACAGGATGAGCATGGCTTTGCTGTTAAGGTACACTGATAGGAGCTACAAAATCTCTCCCTTTTTCACACGCTAAAACCTGAAACCTTAGAATCAGTAGACAAGGTGCCAGTTTTTCACTTAAAATTGGAAAGTTTTAATCCAACTTTAGAATCATCAAATGTGATAAGCAGATATTAATTTCAGTCGATGAAAAACATTAATTTTAAATCACTGCAAGTTAGTTTCTCAAACCATTAATATTAGCACTTTATAAGTGGGAACATCCCAACATTATTCAGCAAGGAAATATAAAGTAGAATAATCACTGTCAAGGCATGTTTAGTTAAATCTAACCAATCAGAATGCTTCTTTCTTGGTGAGGTAGCTGTGGGACAAGACTGCCTTCCTTCTGCTAAAATCTCCAAAGAAAGCTCTAAGGGCTACTAAAAGAAAATTAAATTTTGTTTACTTTTTCAGTGATAAATGCCTAATTTAAAGCTTATTAATATTTGTGGATTTTTTAAACATAGATACAAAAGTTAAATAAGCTACAAGAGTTTAAGGTAGAAAAAAATACCTGAGAATAATTTTAAGAAAATAATTATCATTATGAACATTACCCAAATTGTTTTTGTTTCACACATGAGATCACACTAGTATTTCCATTGTGGTTGAATAAGTGCAATCGCTTGCTGCCTCTGGCAATACCTGATATTACTGGAGATTTCATGTGAAGAAATTTCAAAGTAATTTCTGTAATAAAATTTTTACACATCTTTACATTGGACTTCATTATAGCATACAGCATCAACAAACTTCTCCATCTTCCGATGAAGGAAGTAAATGGGTACATAACAAGAGAGAGCAAAGCCCCCATTACTCATACAAAGGCTTCCTTGTCTGTGACTGACAAGCCGCGTGACCACAAGTAATTTACTTAGTCATCTGATGCCTTCCTTGGTCCATGTATAAAACAGATAATATTAATAATACCCGTGTCTTAGGAACGCTGTGAGAGGGAATCCATTTGGTTTTCAAAAAACATTCAGCACAGAATAAACATGGTAAGTACTGTTTTTCACTTCTCTAAACAAATGTTTAGCATTTGGATCTCAGTATCTAATGTTCATTAGTATGAATAGCTGATTAGCTAAAAGGGAGAACGATGCTGTAGTGATTATTTTTCTAGCTTCTCTTTTTTTTTAACTGAAAATGTGAATTGCTAATACTTTGCATTCTCTGATACAGATAGGCATTCTGAAACCGTATTATTTCAAGGCAGGTTCTTTACATTTAGAGTGAGGGATGTACAAATAATAGAAAATAAACTTTATTTTTACTAATCTCAAGTGAAAGATGAATCTGATGTATATATGAAAACTGCAGAAAATTCTCGTAAAAAAAAGGAGACTCCAAGCGCATACAGCGTACTTCAAGTTGAGATGAGGGCCAGTGACTAAGCCTTAAATCCAGGGCCCTTCACTAAAATTTAAAAAAAGAATGCTTTCTTTTTCCTGCTTTCAGGTAGGAGGCAAAAGCGCACTTGGTAAGTATCAGACCAGCATTCTAAACAGCAAGTTATAGTGGTGATGTTTTAGAAACATAAAGAAAACTAAGGCAGGTTCCATAAATGACCTTCTCTAAATGACTTCACTCTTAACAGAAGGTTACGAGGAAATAGGAGAGAATGTTCTGCGAGTTTTAGTTTATGTTTAATTTTTGTCATGTTTCACAACGGAACCCAGGGCCTCCCATGCTCTAGACAAGTGCTAGACACTCAACCACACCCGCCATTCTAACTTTTTTATTTTTTGCGGTACTGAGGATAGAACTCAGGACCTTGAGCTTGCCAGGCAGGCGCTCGTGCCACTGAGCTGTTTCCCCGGCTTCATTAACTTTTAAAACGATGGATTATATGGTAGTGTAGCTTTCAAGTAATGTTAATAATGTCCCAGTACAGAAAAAGATTACTTAGACTTATTAGACACACTCAATTTGAGTGTGTTTACAAAAAATGCTACAATCTCATGAATGTCGGAGTTATGCTCATGCAAACTGCACTGCACAATTAGGTACGGCATCAGCATCGTCAGTACTTGGTTACTGAGGGATGGCGCATTCAAGAGAAGCAGCTGACAGCCATGAAGATACAGAAACTAGGATGTGCCTGGGAGGCAAGTGCTTCATTAAACCTAAGAACCTATTTAACAACCCCACCTGCAGGCTGAAAATGATCTATGGGCATTTTCCTGAAACAGGCCTCAACAGATTTCAGAAGAATTTGTAACCAGGAGCAGAACTCAGCCTATTTCCACTCTAACGTTTTCCTGGGAGACGCGTCAGTTTCTACGGCATAGAGGGAAGCGCTGGATTTCCACAGCATGACATAGGTTTGGATTCTGCCCTGTCACTTAGAAACTGCACATATTTAATGGGAGAATCACTACACTTCATGACCATGAGCTTCACTTTCCCTGTCTGCAAAATGAGGACAGTTCCTGTATTACTGTATTTAGGTAATTGGTGTGTTCCAGTGAAAGATGGATGCAGAAATGCTTTTAGAGTTATACAACGCTGTTAAAATGTATTTATCACTGTTAACCCACGAGCAGTAAAACCTCACCTTTATCTCCTACATTCAGCATTTTCAGGGCCAGCGCAGATCTAGGAATCTACTTAAGATACCTATGTTCTAGCATCTTAGCCACATTTTTAGCGATGCTTAGATGCTAAAGACGTTATGAACACATGCGAACATGTAACTGTCTTCTTAATCAGTTCTAAAAGTAATGTATACATATTGCATGAATTTGGTAATACAGAATGAGATCATATTAAATATCTTGATTTAACCATGATAATTAGTTTTAAATTTCTAATTTTTTTGAAACATATATATGTATCAAAGCTATGAATATACATCATTTATTGTTTAACATTCTGCTTCTTGCTTGACATTATATAAGAAGAAAAAAATTAACTGGTTTATATTATTACCTATCATTACCATCCTACAACACGTAATAAAAGTGAAATGTGTGATCTATTATATAAATGAATAAAATTCAATATGAACAATCTAAATAAACATATTAGACATTCATATGCTTTAAAAATATCACTATATTTTTGTGTATTTTTTAACTTCAAACATTTCATGGACTATTTCCAACATTTATATTTAATTAATGACTATGTACAAAATTTATTTAGTATTTGAAAACAAAATGATTCTCTTGAAATCTGATATAAAAGTTCTAGAAAAATTCCTTTTACTTTATTGAGGTGTTGGGTATAAGGCATAGAAATATAGATCACAAAAATCTGAACAATTACTGTAGGTTGCTGCCTATTTAGTATTCTGTTAATAATCAGTATAAGGAATACTGTAGAAAAAATATCGGTAGTCACCTGTCAACTGTTTTATTAAGATCACAATTATGTGGTACTGTAAATCTGCAGAAATGAAATATTATATATTCTATTGTCAAAGGTGGCTTCCCAATTGACAAACCATTGTATAAGTAATGACCTCAAACATTAAATCATTTTATTAATATTTGTATGTTAGTATATGATGTATAGACCAAAAATTCTAAGCCAGAGATGTCTCTAATCTATTTATTTGAAATAATAATAATATTGTTAGCTATCATTTTGAGTTTTTATTCATGCTGTAATCAATATATTTTAAAAATAATAAATTGTTATGTAAATGGATTTGTTATACAATGGAGTTACTTATATACTAATTTTCTTTTTTTGACAACTTAACTATTTAATAAACAATATAAGAATTTACCAATAGTTGTATATTTAAAAACAATTGACTAGTACCCTGGAAATTAACCAAATTTTCCAAGCTTTTTGTTAGAGGAAGTGAATATTAACAGTTTTCTGTAAGTTAAAGTTGTCCTCTCCTGGGAACCTCAATACTATACTGGGAAAAAAGAAAATGTCAACGATTGCCGTTCTCTAAGGAGAGACACTACCACGTTATTTGTCACTTTGCTTCTGAAACCAGCACCCCCAATGAATATCTTTACTGTTATTTCTGAGAGTCAGTGGAGAGTGACTAGACACACGGTATGATTCAAAAAGAAAATGAGATACAGATATAACAGCCAATTAACTTTTCCCAGGTCATCTAATCAACTGCTGGGAGAGTCAAAAATAGAAGCTAAGTCTAATTCCCACAGCCGTAAAGGATCAGAGCCCGATTGCCTTGCCTGGAGCAGACCTCAGCCTCTCCTGACGCCGGCATTCTCAAGACGCAGTCATTTCAGAGCTTAGTTTAACTTCATGAAGAGAGGTAGAAAAAAAGGTTATAAACATCTGGGAAAAGATTTGATAATGAGGTCTAGGTATACACTGCCACAGAGAATAAAAATAGTAAAAAATGCAAAACATTTACCTCTATGTATGTTTCAAAAATTACATTGTTCTCTTCTCTGTTACCTTAATTATCACAACAGCCCTACGATTTTTCTTGTTCCCATATTAGTACAGCTCACAGAGCTGAGCTGTTATCAATCATCTAGCCAGTGAATTGAAGAGGTGGGAGTCAAAGCTCAATTTTTTTTCCTGAATGCCATGATCTGTCCTAAGTGGTGGCCGAAACATTTAAAATGATAAAGAAACAAACAAACAGAGAAAGGGAGAGGGAGGTATAGTAATTAGCATACTTTGAAAATAATGTTCAAGGGCCAGGGATGCAGCTCAGTGGCACAGCGCTTGCCTAGCAAGTACAGGTCATGCGTTCGATTCCCGGCACAAAAAAAAGAAAAAGAAAGAAAGAAAATAATGCTCAGATCATTTTGATTGTTTTTGAAGATAACCAAAGGCTGCCTGAGATGATGAAGAAATTATTATTAATTATTATTATTATTATTACTTCTATAGTAAAGCCAGGTACCATAATGACCGCTCGAATTGCATCAATTTTTATTCTTTTGATACTGCACAATTATAAAATAAGTTTACCTTTATTGAATACTTAGCATAGCATAGCACACTAAAAATCTTACTAGAAATGTTAACATTTATAAAATATAGCAAATGCTATTGTTTTATGAAATCATGTTTCTCTTTAATCTGGAGAAAAAGAAGTTTCATTTAAATTTCTCTTTTAGAGAACACTAGCCTATTAACTAACTTTATCAGTGGAGATTCTCAATTGGTACATTTTTATTTATTGCAAATCCCTTCCAAATTGATCTTTATGTAATTCTAATAAACACAGGTATATAATAAAAAATTAAGCACATCTGCCCCATTTTATATCTCAACTATGCAGGGCTGCACAAATTTAAAAGTCATTTTCCCAAGAATTTCTCAGTTGAAGAGTCAGATGAGAGATTAATGCGGATGATAACGATTTGTCACAATTTTGTTTTGCGGGTAGTACTAACACAATCTTTTCTCAATGCATCCTTCCTTAACATGCATTATTCTCTACTGAGCACATCTTATAATTAGAAACCCATACACGTAATTTTCCTTCTCTAAAATTTTGATACACTACCATAGCCACTCTAAAATTTGCTAGTTTCTAAATATGAATTTGAATTGGGGTGAGTTTAACAGATCATTGTTAGTGATTTCATGTCCACCCAAAAGTCAGATTCAACAATTTCTGCAAGTCCTAGCAAGGTTAAATCTTGTAAATGAACAGAAGTATTGTTTTCCGTTATATTTCACTTATCAGAGAACCTGAGTGTGAATGAGCACAGAAAAAAAATCTAAGAACTGTGGCTAAAAATACACTGAGTTGTCCACATTCACTCAAATTATGAAGCCTACATTAGAAGATATGTAGCAGATTGTATTCTGGCTATTACTGAAAAAAGCAAAAACTGATGGGTATAGCCTGGCACTTGGTCTCCTAACCACCGCAGTGGGTTGTTTAAGTGCTGTTTATCCATGAAAGATCAGGATGCTTATTTCTTTTAAGACTTTGCAAATAGGACCAATCAACTAGAGGTAAATAAGGAAGTGCTTATTAATAAGTCTCTTCCCCCTCACCCCACCAAATAGAAAGCATACTTGAAATACCTTTGTGGCACCTCTAGTGCCAACTGCATTGCACAGTGTCCTCATTTCCTTTGAGCACGTCTTCTTCAGCCCTT